TTTCTCCTGCCTCCCCCGCGCCAGCCCCCCAGCTGGGCAGCATGGTGGATCTGGAGAGCGAGGTGCCCCCTCTGCCTCCCAGGTATCGGTTCCGGGATCTGCTGCTGGGAGATCAAGGCTGGCAGAACGACGACAGGTGAGTCGGGGAGGCGGCGCAACGCTCCGCCGGGCTGTGGGGGCCGGGGCCGGCGCGACTCGCCCTTTCCTCTGCTGCCGCCCGCGCCGGACCTGCTCCTGGCGCCTCACGTCTTTCCATAGCACATGAGCGCAGCCAGTGCGGGGACGAACACAGGCACACGCACACACACACACACACACGGAGGGGTGTACCCAATCTTGATCTGTCCTTCATCCTGGCCCCCACTCACAACCTGGTACAGACACACACACACACACACACACACACACGGTACCCAGTCTTCTTGATCTGTTCTTCATCCTGACACGCTCTCTGTATCTTCTTGATTTGTTCTTCATTCTGGCTCCCACTCAGAAGCTGGTGCAGGGACACACACACACACACACAGAGGTACCCAGTCTTTTTGAACTGTCCTTCATCCTGCCCCCCACTCACAAGCTGGTACAGGGACAGCAGGTGCCCCACTTCTGCTACGTGCTTCTGTACCACTCCCTGAGCTGCACTGTTCAAGGAACACACACAGCCCTCCAGAGCCCCTGATGCTGTAGATCTCTAGCGAAGGTGAAAGCCTAAGTTTTAATAGTAACTCTAACTGGTTTAAAATGTTAACACCTAGGACATGTAGAGTTTACTGCAATTTCATAGTGCCTCTGGATTCTTCCTGGGGGAGGAATAACTACACACACACACACACACACACACACACTATGTACCCCAGATTGGTTACTCTGTATTTGATTCCTTCAAGAATATCAGACCTCACCTATTTCAGTTGAATTGTATCGGAGTAAACTCACAACAACACACTCAAGTTTCTCCAGTTTCAAGAAAAAGAAGAAAAAATTCTGGTCTGCATGACATTAGGAAGTCCCATGGTTTGTATTTGACATGTCAGTCATTATTAAAGCTTTCCCAGTGATAAGCCTGGACATTCCTACATTAAAAGGACCTGGTGAAAGCTCTTCAATCTTGTATTCTCATGTAACAACTGTAAGAGATGCCTGTGCTGTGATTGGTCAATTGCATCATTTGGTTTGTGTGTACAGCTGTAGAAACACCAGGATCATTCCTCTGTGTTAATATTAATATAGTATGGTGTGGTCCATTGGTCTCAGCTTGACTGTCACAGCCTGTAGGGAGTTGAAACCATTGTTTTATGGGTAGATAGAAAACAAGATTACAAAACAATTTCTTATGATAAAAATGGGCTCACACCAGGAAAGGCTGATTGCTGATGATAGGCACAATATTTTGATTCAACATGCATGGCTGTGCCAGTGCACTTGTTTCTTCAGATCTGGGTGTTTGGCTTAGTTTAAAGAATTGGTTTCCTAAACTGTTTTAAAAAAAACCCAAACAAATGTAGGTTTAATTCTAAAAAGGACCTTTACATTTGTTCAATTAAGAAAGTAGCATTGTTGTTAAAATTTCTATTCTGCATTATCAGTAATGTGTTCTTCATTATAATACACTAAACACATTGTTCCAGATGTCATCAATAGGCAAATCATTTTTTTTTCCACCAGACAACTTCTTTAATGCATTAGTTAGGAATAGCTATTTCCCACCACAGCATAAGTCTACTGATCCAATGTAATAGCCATCAAATAAAGACAAGTACAGATTTTATTTGGCAGAGACTGATTTAAATGACCAATTTTAATTATGAATGAGTCTAGCAATTAAGAAATCTTGAATTAAATTATCATCTTTACATTTCCATGTTTTACATTTGTACCTTTTTTTAAAAGAACCTGGTTCTCATTAATTACAATAATAATTGATTAGCAATTAAGTATTACTTTCTGATAAGCAGGAGGATATGTTATATACACTTAGGTTCTGTATCTTCACATTTATTTATGGTGACTGAAGTTTCTTATTTACAAGTTTTTTTCCCTTGTGATATGTATCAACTGCTGTTTGGAAATTGGAATTCAGTGAAAAAAGAAAATAATTCTGTTTTTCTTACTAAATATGTTGAAAAGGAAAATGATTATTAGAACCAGTTTGCTAGTTAAACTCATGGAATTATTAAAGACAAAAACAGCATTGTCTATACTTATTTGAACTAATTGTTTCTGGTTACCTTGGCCTTCAGGATTTTAGAACTAGTACATCTTTGCATCTCACTCCTAGGTCTTTGTTTATAAAATAAAACCAAGCTTTACTACTTTTTTTCCTTTTGCTGTCAATTTCCACTTCCCTTCTTAGTGAATTAATCATTAGCTGAACTTATTTTATAAACTGAAATGTAGAAAATATTTTTCTCCTTCTCAAAGCTGTTAAAAGCTGACTTAACACTTCAAACTCTGGTTCCATGAGCTTATTATCCACAACCTTCTCCAATTTAGTGATTTGATTTTTGTATAATGCTTCAGCAGAAATATGCACTATTTAAATTAAATGAATAATCTTGAAATGGATAAATAAAATTAAAGGTTAGTGTTTTATAGATTGCTAATTTAAAACTGAAAAGCAGGTTTATATTGTAAAACAAAATTATTTGAAATTTAAAACTTAAAAAAAAAAATTAAGCAACTCTATTTTAATTCTCCCCCTCCAAATTAGGCATAGCAAAATATTCAGTCTGCCTAGTTCTTTAGTTACTGACAATTCCAAAAACTTTTAGGTAAGCAGGATCTGATATCAATTAGGAAGTAGTATATAGGACTTCCTGTAGACACTTCATATACCAGAGTACTTATTGAGCTATAGAAATCCCTTTTTAAAGTATGTGCACTAGAACTACTTTTTGTTGTTTTCAGGTTTGTCGAAGAAATGGCACTATTACTGGAAACAAACACATAATAATATAGTGTGTGTGTGTTTGGATTACTGTAAAGCAAAAATTGTTTTTTTCAATTATTTTATCAGTTTTTAATACTAAATCAAAACATGCATGTACTAACACCCCCCACCCCCGAAAAAAAAATAAAAAAATAAAAAAAAGAAGCAACCACACACATGGGATCCTGGAATATTTAATTGGTAAAATAATTTCCAGTCCTGTGCTCCTCTTCCTCTGCTAGGTCATTGTCTCCCCTCTCCTGTTACTGCAGATAACCATGGCATGTCACCTCCCACAAAGAATTAAAACTAGTTGTCAATCACCCCCACTGTACAGACAGTGGTAACCTGTTACAGAACCTCCCTGTTCCTCCAAGAGGAAGGATCATGTGGAAATGGAGGAAACGTGCACCACAGTTTTCTTGCTAAAAGGTTAGCTTAATTCCATAAATAAATCATATTGTTAGTACTTACACATTATTACTAGGCCTGTGCAAAGTGGCTAGTATTCGCTTCAGATTTGGATTCAGCTGATTGGGGGGACAGTGATTCGATTTGGCGATTCAAATCACTGTCCCAAATCAATTTGTCCGAATCTGATTTGGAGATTTGGCCACCACCGAATCAGCTGAATCTCCAAATGAAACAGGCCCATTCCCCACCCACTTTCCCAGCCCCAATAATGGCTGCCCCACCCAGCCCCAGCATCCCGGCTCTTTAAAAAAAAAAAAGCCACCCTCACCGGCTGCTGCTAGGCAGGAGGGTGATCCCCACTGCCCCATGCTGCATGGGGGTGCTCTGCCACGAGCCTCCAGAAGTCCTGAAGGCCACTGCAGTAGCTGGCAAGTGCAGGGCTTTTTAAAAATTTTTTTAAGAGCCAGGATGCTGGGCGAGGCAGCCATTGACAGGGCTGGGAGAGCGGGCAGGGTGCTCAGAGGGGCTGGGGGAGCAGGCAGGGGATGGGGCCTGGCAGGGGTCCTTTCATGGTCTTCTCCCCCCACCTCCACCCCTCTCCCCTGCCTCCTACTTACCAGCACGAAGTCCGGTTCCAACTCCCTGCAGTGGCGAGCAGGGATTGCCCGAATCTCCAAATCTCCTTCCTATCTTTTTCCAAATTGATTCAGAGGCTTTGAATTGGTTTGGACCTTTTTATTGATCTCCTGATTCAATTTGGATTTGGAGATTCAGCCATCGAATCAGGCTGAATTTCCTCTGAATTGAAACAGCACCCAAAGCTTCACACAGCCCTAGTTATTACTTGAATGGTGCACATGTTTTTTGCATTATATGGACACTTTTGGAATATTACAAATAAATTTAGAACAAGAGTTGGAAATCTTTAATGAAAGGAGGTTAGACAATGTTGTTACTAGCTACTTTCTTATTAGAATGATTGTACACAAGATATTTCATACTTATTTGTGAATGTAATCTGTTTTTTTCTTGTAGTACTACATGACAAATGAGTTTATTTTAGAGAGAGCATATTTCTTATTTGTTATTGAATTCAGCATATACTATTCACTTCTGTCTACGGCTCCCACTCCTGACACATTCCCAGACATCTGCTTCAGCTAAATTCAGAAAGCTACAATCAATGTGAAATATTTGTATATTTATACTTGACAACCCAAAGGGTACATGTAGACATTTGGGGAGGTTAGATTTAGTTAAAAATGGCCACCTGATTTATGGTCAGTTAGGATAAGGAGGGCTGGGGTGGGGGTGGGGGGGCTTTGGAGGATCAGGGGGGCAAGCAGAGTTGGGGTGCAGGTTGGCTGAATATTGGAGGGGCTTATAGTGTTTACAGAGGGGCTGGGGTGGATGGGAGGCTCTCTCCCCATCTCCTGGGAACAGAGGTTATTTTTAGCCCCCTGACCCTCCCCTACCCCCCAAGCCACAACCCCCAATCCTGCCAGCCCCTTCCCCCATTGTTATTTCAATTGGATCCCAGCACCCACAAATATCTGTAAAAATTAGCACCAGGAGTGACTTGTGGGATGGGGGGGATGTTATACATTGGTGGGGTGGGGGGAGGGGCCACAATGTTTAAAAGTAGCCTGGTGCTGGCAGTGCAGGGGAGAGGGGTAGGGGAAGTGGGGTGGGCTAGTGGCTTGGCGTTTCCC